GTCAACTGTTAGAATTTTATTGTATTGATGTACACCTGATTAATGATAATAGTTGATACACTTCATCTCTGTAGAGTGAGGTCGGAAATGGGAAGATTGTTTATTGTTATTGCTGTGAAGATTATAAGTTATTGTGTGATTAATGGATAATGAAATGAGAGTGACGGTCTAACTAATTGCACATTGTGATTGACTATGGGATAAAAGGGTGGAGTTAGAGAATTATGTCACACACTGAGAAAGGCTTTGTGCCGAAACGTCTGTTTGTCTGTTATCACCCGTAAAATGTAAGAAAAAGTCGAAATAAAAACAGTACGAAGCAATTGAGTGCAAATCATAACCTTCTTTTGAATAATAGTAACGATAAGATTAACGCACCAAACCAAAGAAGTAACTAAAAAAAACGCAAGCGCGCAGGACAAACTTCAGTAACTCTGCACACTGAGCATGTTCCCAAATTACCTCGGAAGAACAAACTTGGTCGGAAGGATGAGATAGAACCGAAAAATGAAGTGCTCCTATTGCCCAGTGGCACCCACAAGATGAAACTTGTTATAAAGAAAGAGGAAAAATTAAACATGCTAGACTTTCTGTGATGGTGTTGTGAAGTGTCGCAGACATGGCATCTGTTGTCATGAACTATGCCGCACTTCACGAGAAGAAACGAATGAATCTTGTGTCATGAGTCTTAAGCCTTTTTGTCGTTTACAAATCCCAACTACACCCTACATCAAGGAAATCGTGACAACTTTGTTTGATTTAACAGGGGCTTGAGACTTTAACAACCTTTTGATTATCTTATTAACACCAAATATGTAAATATGCATGCATGGCTGTTTTTGTGAATCTTAGAATACATACAACTTTCAGATGAATCCCTTTCATTGAAATCTTGTTTTAAGTTTTTTTCCAATAATAAAATATTGTCTAATGCTTTGCTACATTAAAAGTACAGTTTACTGGACATTAAATGTAGGTTTGAACATTTATATTATTTTGATGAAAGCAGTAAAGACAAAGAAACTGCTGTAATCAGGTATGAAATAAGTTTTATTGTTTATTTTGTTAAACAGGATTGAACGAGATGTCAATAAGCTACATGTCTGTCACCACCTACTGGACATTTTTACATCTAAGACTTTTACAACCCTCTGATTTTCCTCTGGCACTCTTTTCCTGCTGCTCTTCTGATTATTTAGTCTGTGCATCTGTTCTTCTCAAAGTGCTCTAGAAACGTCTCATTTGTCTACAGTACACTAGCTGGTGTGTGTTTTGCTTCTGCAGCTTCACAGAGAGCCTCACAGACGCAGCAGAGGAAGTTCAGGATCAGGATCTGCTCTCCTCAAGTTCCTCTGCCACTCCTGCTCTCCCTGTAAATCATCCACAGTGTTTATCTACACTGATCCTCACAATGCAATTCAAGCCATGACTGCTGCTTTAAGATAAGTGTAATGTCACTGGCCACCTGTTCAGTGCAACCAGGGATGGCGCTCAATATCATCTAAACTGGGCCGATCTGCTGGTGCTGCACTGAGACACCAGCGAATCAGCTGACGGCACTCTGTTACACACAACACCGACTTCAGAAACACACAACAACACACTTCTGCTCTCTCACACACATTGTCTTCATCTCTAAATGTGTCTGAATCTCTTACCTGTTGACAGCTTTCTAGGGAAGATCAGTCTGCTTTTGGACGTGACCTTCTGTGCGCCTCTGAAGGGGAAACGGTCACACAGGATGTTGTAAAGGGTCACTCCTACTGACCAGACTGTAGCTGGAGTCGCATTATAGCGATGTCTGCGGAACCACTCTGGCGGAGCGTATGCAGGAGTGCCTGAGAGACACAAGAGGAACACAAACATTCACTTAAAACTCTCCAGTACAGACAATTACCCTTAGTCAATCATCACAAACATCCACAGAGCGTTTCCTTCTGTAACACAAACCCACCAGCAAAGTATTTGTAGGCAGAGCGCTTCAGCAGATCTCCACAGCCAAAGTCCAGCAGCTTGATGTCCTGGGACTCTGTGGAGATCAGCAGGTTCTCTGGCTTGACGTCCCGGTGCAGGACGCCGCGGCTCTCGCAGTGTTTCAGCGCCGCGATCAGCTGCACCAGCACTTTCTTAGCCAGACGCTCGTCCAGACAGCCGTTCTCCTCACAGAAGCTCTGCAGATCTTGGCAAGGAGCCGGACGCTCCAGGATCAGGACGTAGCGTCTGGGACGGTCAAACCAGTCCAGCAGCTGCAGGACACTGGGGCAGGCAGGAGCTGAAGTGACGCGGATCATCAATGCCACCTCCAGCGGCAGACGACCCTGACCGTCCTGAAGGACAAACACTTCATTATATGCAGGACTGAATGAAAGACGTCAAACACAACAGATTCACTCTGGAACTTACAACTTTCAGTCTGGTGTGCATCTGGTCCTTAGACACGTACTTGATGGCCACCTGCAGACAGAAGAAGCACAGTAAATCACACCTGCCTGATTTACTGACAGCAACATTTCTAAAGCATGTCTGAATGAAGGAGGGAAGAAAATGTCTTACTGGCAGTCCATCAGACCTGCGGATCCCAGCAAACACAGAGCCGAATCCACCTCGTCCCAGCAACGGGCCCTTCGCATACACATCTGCAACACAGAAGAGCACAAGAAAACAAGAATATAGAGACAGATCATTTCATAACTGAGCCATAACATCTGGAAGAGGAGCGTGTGCTGACCTCTGCGAGAGCGTTTGAGTGGTGTTCTTCTGGACGAGGTGGACGCCGTTTGCTGGCTGCTGCTCATCCTCTTCCTCTTCCTCTGGTCAGTGGACACAGAATCTGCCAACTCGGAAGACAGAGGAGCCAAATAACCAGGAAGCTCTGTGGTGCCATCACGTGTGTCTGCGTCCAGGGCTGATGTCTGGGTGAAAGCAACACTCCTGGATCTGGAGCGGCCTGAGGCTAAAATATAAACAACACACACAAACTCTGATTATCGATCATTAATAAACAGCACTCAATCTCACTAGTCTCATCATTTTACTTCATTTTTAACAACTGTCAGTCAGAACTTCCAGTAGATTTAATGAATATATTTAAGGATTAATATAGCATAATCATTTTCATATTATTTAGCCAAACATACAGCATCATACAATGACATATTGCACCAATAACAAACAACTGAAAAATTAAAAACACTCACCTCGTCTTTCACCCATGTGGGCCTTTGACATCCTTCTCCAACCTGTAATGAGACAAGAAAATACAGAAAACAAGAGTATGAAAATAAAAAGTTAAAAACTAAAAGTAAAAAGAAAAAGAAACAAAAAATTAAGAACAAAACGAAGTGGAATTGAAAAATGTCAAAATAAATGTTTAAAGAAATAATCCGATCTCTTGCAAGGAAATAAAACTAATGAAGTAAAATGTGCTCTTTAAAATTAAAGTCTTTTCTCAGAAATCTCAGGATCCACACAGTAATGCTCTGGAAAAGTCGCCTCGTCTCAACCAACAGATTACGAAAGGGACGTCGATCGTTTATAAATACAGTCAGAATTCATATCATAACACGCGTTGCTATAGCAACTAAAATTGTGATAGCGTGTCCTTCTGTGCATCCAAACTTTTCTTTCCGACCTAAACAATTTGTAAGGATTATTATCCGCTGAATTAGCCAAAAAAGAGGAATATATCATATTTGTTCGCTCTGATTATAAAATTAAATAATTACATTAAATAACTCAACACATTGTAAGCAGTGTAATAGTGAAGTTGCCATCACATTGCTTTCTGAAATATTTTATCGCACCGTCATTGCTTGTTTGTAAGAAAAATCTTTACATTTGTCCAAAATCACATAAAATCGAGTGAACGTGTATAAAAACAGGACTAAACAAACAAACCAGCTCATCTATAAATTAAACTAAAGCATAGAATCAGGTCATTCTAAGCTCTTTGATTTAATGTAGCCTTACCATAATGAAGGCGTATACGAGGGAGATGCTGATCCTCCTCGTTATGACGTTATAAACGCGCTTCATTCATGTGATTTCAGGCATGACAAACTGCTTTCAGATTTCTGAGTAACACATTTAGGTTATTATTATGTTAAATCTTTGTTAAATCTTTATGATTCAGCTAAAGCACTTATTAACGTTTTTATTTATATAACAAGAAGAATAGCATACAAAAATAGAGGAATAAAGTAGTTAAGTTTTTTTTCTTTAATGTCAAAGAACCAAATCAAATAGAGAATAAAAAAGTATAAAATAATTTTTTAAAAAGCATGAGGACATTACAAAAGATCGTACGATATTGACGTCACTCTAAATATGCGCCTCGCATAATAATGGGGAAACCAATTATATAGCTGTCAAATAAAAATAACTATATAAATAATAATAATAATAATAATAATAATAATAATACAATTAAATATGATAAGCATTTCGTTTGTGATCAGCATGGTGACCTGGTATTGATTGAGCATGTCTGGGATTGACATTGATTAAATCCTTATTGGAAATTTAAAAAATAATAACAGAAATATTAATAAATACTGATGCATATGATATAGATTTATGCTTGTTGTGTGCAAGGTCAGGGGTCAAAATGAGCGATTTTTAAAATTGAGGTTCTATAGCAACGCGTGTTATGATTTGACAATAGATATAAACACGTAAAACGCTCATCGCTATCTGTTGGAGGACAAGGCGAATTCAGAGACTTTTGGAGCAGATTTCTGTGCAATACTGTGATTCTTCAAGGAGCCAGGAGTATTTCTGACAGAGGCTTTTATTCCAGAAGGAGATCGGCGGATATTTTATTTGATTATTATTATTTTCTTGCAAGAATTCAGATTATTTCTTTAAACACATTTGTTTTATTGTTCTTTCTTCATTTACTCTTCGTTGTGTTCTTATTTTACCTTTTTATTTTTTATTTCAGTTTTATTTTCATACTCTTGTTTTCTGTATTTTCTTGTCTCATTACAGGTTGGAGAAGGATGTCAAAGGCCCACATGAGTGAAAGACGAGGTGAGTGTTTTTAATTGTTTAGTTGTTTGTTATTGGTGCAATATGTCATTGTATGATGCTGTATTTGGCTAAATAATATGAAAATGATTATGCTATATTAATCTTTTAAAATATTCCTTAAATCTACTGGAAGTCCTGACTGACAGTTGTTAAAAATGAAGTAAAATGATGAGACTAGTGAGATTGAGTGCTGTTTATTAATGATCGATATTCAGAGTTTGTGTGTGTTGTTTATATTTTAGCTTCAGGCCGCTCCAGATCCAGGAGTGTTGCTTTCACCCAGACATCAGCTCTGGACGCAGACACACGTGATGGCACCACTGAGCTTCCTGGTTATCTGGCTCCTCTGTCTTCTGAGTTGGCAGATTCTGTGTCCACTGACCAGAGGAAGAGGAAGAGGAGGAGGAGCAGCAGCCAGCAAACGGCGTCCACCTCGTCCAGAAGACCACCAGCCAAACGCTCTCGCAGAGGTCTGCACACGCTCCTCTTCCAGATGTTATGGCTCAGTTATGAAATGATCTGTCTCTATATTCTTGTTTTCTTGTGCTCTTCTGTGTTGCAGATGTGTATGCGAAGGGCCCGTTGCTGGGACGAGGTGGATTCGGCTCTGTGTTTGCTGGGATCCGCAGGTCTGATGGACTGCCAGTAAGACATTTTCTTCCCTCCTTCATTCAGACATGCTTTAGAAATGTTGCTGTCAGTAAATCAGGCAGGTGTGATTTACTGTGCTTCTTCTGTCTGCAGGTGGCCATCAAGTACGTGTCTAAGGACCGGACGCACACCAGACTGAAAGTTGTAAGTTCCAGAGTGAATCTGTTGTGTTTGAAGTCTTTCATTCAGTCCTGCATATAATGAAGTGTTTGTCCTTCAGGACGGTCAGGGTCGTCTGCCGCTGGAGGTGGCATTGATGATCCGCGTCACTTCAGCTCCTGCCTGCCCCAGTGTCCTGCAGCTGCTGGACTGGTTTGACCGTCCCAGACGCTACGTCCTGATCCTAGAGCGTCCGGCTCCTTGCCAAGATCTGCAGAGCTTCTGTGAGGAGAACGGCTGTCTGGACGAGCGTCTGGCCAAGAAAGTGCTGGTGCAGCTGATCGCGGCGCTGAAACACTGCGAGAGCCGCGGCGTCCTGCACCGGGACGTCAAGCCAGAGAACCTGCTGATCTCCACAGAGTCCCAGGACATCAAGCTGCTGGACTTTGGCTGTGGAGATCTGCTGAAGCGCTCAGCCTACAAATACTTTGCTGGTGGGTTTGTGTTACAGAAGGAAACGCTCTGTGGATGTTTGTGATGATTGACTAAGGGTAATTGTCTGTACTGGAGAGTTTTAAGTGAATGTTTGTGTTCCTCTTGTGTCTCTCAGGCACTCCTGCATACGCTCCTCCAGAGTGGTTCCGCAGACATCGCTATAATGCGACTCCAGCTACAGTCTGGTCAGTAGGAGTGACCCTCTACAACATCCTGTGTGACCGTTTCCCCTTCAGAGGCGCACGGAGGGTCACGTCCAAAAGCAGACTGATCTTCCCTAGAAAGCTGTCAACAGGTAAGAGATTTAGACACATTCAGAGATGGAGACGGTGTGTAAACGAGCAGAAGTGTGTTGTTCTGAAGTGTGTGTTGTGTGTAACAGAGTGCCGTCACCTGATTCGCTGGTGTCTCAGTGCAGCACCAGCAGATCGGCCCAGTTTAGATGATATTGAGCGCCATCCCTGGTTGCACTGAACAGGTGGCCAGTGACATTACACTCATCTTAAAGCAGCAGTCATGGCTTGAATTGCATTGTCAGGATCAGTGTAGATAAATACTGTCAATGATTTGCAGGGAGAGCAGGAGTGGCAGAGGAACTGAGGAGAACAGATCCTGATCCTGAACTTCCTCTGCTGCGTCCGTGTGGCTCTCAGTGGTGCTGCAGGAGCAAAACACAAACACCAGCTAGTGTACTGTAGACAAATGAGACGTTTCTAGAGCACTTTGAGAAGAACAGATGCACAGACTAAATAATCAGAAGAGCAGCAGGAAAAGAGTGCCAGAGGAAAATCAGAGGGTTGTAAAAGTCTTAGAAGTAAAAATGTCCAGTAGGTGGTGACAGACATGTAGCTTATTGACATCTTGTTCAATCCTGTTAAACAAAACAAACAATAAAACTTATTTCATACCTGATTACAGCAGTTTCTTTGTGCTTTCATTAAAATAATATAAATGTTCAAACCTACATTTAATGTCCAGTAAACCTGTATTTTTAATGTAGCAAAGCATTAGACAATCTTTTTATTATTGGAAATAACTTAATAAATGAAGCAAACAAGATCCCAATGAAAGATTGTTTAGAAAGCTATATGTATATTAAGATTTGCAAAAACAGACATGTATGTATATTTACATATATAGTGTTAACAATAAGATACTGAAAAGTTTGTCAAAGTCCAATAGATCCAGTAGGTGTCAACAGATGTGTAGATTTCAAATCGTGTAAACTACGCTTTTAAGAATGTAGGGGTGTGCTGCAGTGCTGGTTTAAATCGGTACAAATTAGCACAATGTATTCTTAAACTGGGAACAAATATGTGATATAAGAAGTAAGCTAGAGTAATAAATAAAAACAAGGTTATTTATATCCTGTACAATACTGTCAAAAATTAACAAAACGTTTTTGTACAGTCTGCATGGTGTTTGGCTGTGTTCCTGATTCCTCTGAGGCCCATAAAGGTTCAATCTGCATGCTGTCTGGCTGTGTTCCTGATGCTTCTGAGGTCCATGAAGGTCCAGTCTGCATGGTGTCTGGCTGTGTTCCTGATGCTTCTGAGGTCCATGAAGGTCCAGGCTGCATGGGTGACTGACTGTGTTCCTGGTGCCTCTGTAGCTCTGGTCTGCATCAAGTCTGCCTGAACTGCTAAGGTCCCTGAAGCTGGATTGCTGGTGCCCCAGAAGCTCCAGCCCAGAATGAGTTTGACTGGAGTGCTGACCCCTCTGAAGCTCTGGTCTGCACTGAGTCTGTCTGAGGCCCTGGAACCTCCGGCCCTGGAAGCTTAGGTCAGCATTTAGTCAGGTAGGAGAACAGACACCCTGGAAGCTCCGGATGACATTGAGTCCAGTTGGTGTGCTGATACCCTTCAATCTACAGCTTGCACTGAGACAGATTGTTTTCAAATATTAACAATTAAAATAAAATGTTTACAATCCAAGTTTAATGGTTTTGTTTTATTCATTTAGGTGACCCAATGATTAGAATCTGTGTATTGAATTGATAATCATGAACCGTTGCTTAATATTATAATCTTTGTTGAAAATTTTTTTGTGGAAACTGTGATGTAGAACCCTTAAAAATCCCCTTCTGAAATACTTTAATTCATTCAGAACACATTAAATTTATCAGAAGTAAAAGTAGCTTTAATGAAAGATAAAAAATACTGTAATTTTAAAAACATGTTTATTATTTGTTTTTATAAAAAAAGAGAAATGAAAACATGCTTATAGGCTTCATTAATTTTTAAAGAACAGAGATGACATAAAAAGTGCTCAACCATTTCATATTGAACAGCAATACGTTTATCTACATTGTTCACTAGACAACAGCATAGCGGAAACAAAACTTTTTAATGGGATAGTTCACCCCAAAAAAATACAAAAATTACTCACTTTTTACTCTCCCTTAAGTGGTTGTATCAGTTTCTTTATTCTGTTGAACACAAAATAATATATTTCAAAGTAAGTAAAATACATGTAATCATTGACTTCCATAGTTGTAAATTGAAGGGAGAGTAAATGAGGACAATTTTTCATTTGGATCAAATATGCTTTCAAAACCTGCCGCTTACCAATCTTTTAATTTCCAGGAAAAGTTTTCAGAAAAATATGCAGCAACATTTTTTAAAACACCAACAAACAAAAATACCCTATTCAACAACAAAAATAACTGATCTTATCAGATCTACATGTAACTATATCTACAATATTCAGTTATAGCCATAGCGTCACCTACTGGCAATTATTTTATACATATTCTTATATTCTACACTCTCAGAAGAAATGGTACAATGTTGTACCAAAGAAGGTAAAAACAAACCCTTGTCAATGGGGCAGGACCTTTTAATGGAACAGAATTGTGCCTTAAGACAAAGAAACTAATTTGTTCCATTGCACTTTATACCTTTAAGGACATGATTTGTATCATGGGGAACCAAAATGTACCTTTGGTTTTTAAAAACTACAGATACATTTTCCTTTATCCAAAATGCATCAATTTATTTTCAGTAAATATAAAACATCAATTTTTTTTAAAGTTTCTTTGTGTGTAAACACACCTTTTCTATTTACAATAAAGAATCTAAAAAATCTTTTTAGCTAAACATTTCACAACACCTTTCACAAAAATGTTACAGAAACACATTCTCCCATGTTCAATATAAAACACCCTTTTCTCCCTTTGTTTTCTCCAATACCTTTGTAATCACTTAAAAGTTCATTGAATTTATTTAATTTTAAAATCAAAACATAATTATGCAAAAGTACTGTAATGAGATATGCACAATGTTTGATTTGTTTTACAATACTAAAATGTCTGCATGAAAACTTTGCATATGCAGGACTTTTGCCAGCTCACATGCATATAGGAAAGCAAACGCCAAAAGGTGCGGATATCAATAATGAAAATGTAATTATCGGAAAATGCTTACTAAAATGTTTATTAAAAATGCCTTTATGCCACAGCGGAATGAACCGTCAACTTATCCAGCACATTTTTACGCAGCGGATGCCCTTCCAGCCGCAACCCATCTCTGGGAAACATCCACACACACACACACACTCATACACTACGGACAATTTAGCCTACCCAATTCACCTGTACCATGTCTTTGGACTGTGTGGGAAACCGGAGCACCTGGTGGAAACCCAAGTGAACACAGGGAGATCTTTTCAGTCATATTTATTTTATTAGATATTGTAATAAAGGAGTTGTCCAACACTTATGTACCTTCTTTATAAGAACAATTGTGTACCTTCATTTCAGTTGTACCATAAAAAGTACAGAACAGAATCATAAGAGGTCTTTTCTGTACCAAATAAGGTACAAATTTTTCAAAGGTACAAAACTGTTCCTTAAGGAGCATTATTTGTACCACTGTGTACCTTTTTTTCTGAGAGTGTACCGTTCTCTCTACTATTTAAAGTGATAGTTCATCCCAAAATAAAAAAATTCCTTCATCATTTACTCACTCAACTGAATCTAAACTTTTATGACTTTCCTTCTTCAGTTAAACAGAAAACAGAAAGATTTTGTGAAGAATGTTATTATATTATGGATGTTTTTTACCCTACATTCTTTAGTAAATCTTTCTTTCTGTTCATGTCTTTATCTTAGTTTGATGAGTAAATGATGGCATATATATATATATATATATATATATATATATATATATATATATTTTTTTTTTTTTTTTTTTTTTTTTTTGGTTAAACCATTCACTTAAATGAATATTGCCCCCTGTTCACTGTTATTTTAAGGCCACTGGGTGGCGATGAACCCTTTCAACAATTCTTGCAGCTTTAATTATAAATAAAAAAGGCATTTGTGCTCTAATATTAGTCTTTAATATTATCAAGTCAGTGTGAACAATAGTGGTTAATGGTAACCTCTGACCTCCATAGTATTTTTTCCTATATAGTATATACAGTTGAAGTTGAATTATTAGCCCCCCTTTGAATTTTTTTTTTTTTTTTTTCTTTGTTTTGTTTTGGCTTGAATAAAAGCTGTTTTTTTAATTTTTAAACACCATTTTAAGGTAAAAAATATTAGCCTCTTTAAGCTATTTTGTTTTTCTTCTACAGAACAAACCATCGTTATAAAATAATTACCTTAACCTGCCTAGTTAAGCTAATTAACCTAGTTAAGCTTATAAATGTCACTTTAAGCTGTATAGAAGTGTCTTGAAAAATGACACTTGGCAAAGATAAAAGAAATCAGTTTTCAGAAATGAGTTATTAAAACTATTATGTTTAGAAATGTGCTGAAAAAAATATATTTTCTTAGTCAATCGGGGGACGGGGGAAAATACACAGGGGGGCTAATAATTCTGACTTCAACTGTATGTAGATCTCAATGGTTACCATCAACCAGCATTTTTTACATTGACTTGTTTTGTGCTCAACAGAAGAAAGAAACGTAGAGGTGAGGGGTGAGTAAATGCTCTCAGAAATGTAATTTTGTGTTCAAAAGAAGAAATAAAGCCAAAAAGGTTTAAAACTACATGAGGACATTTTTATTTTTTGGGTGAACTATTCCTTTACATCCAGGTCATTTGTACGCTGAACTGTGGGAACACTTTTCTGGCTAGATTTTCATTGTGTGCAATAAAAAATGCTGATTTTCAACAAGATCCAAAAGCATACCTTTGTTTATCTTCCTGCCCCAGGCTGCCAGAAGACTAAATTTTATCAGTAATCATCATGGTACCATCATGGAAAATCTCTTTCCAGAACCTTCTCATTCACTGTTCCCTGATTGTCACTTGATCTTTCTAACCTCATCCAAAATAACGAACCGCTTATAATTTTCCTTCTGAAAAACAAATTCTCAATGCTTTCAATTGTTATTGAACCCTTTCTGTACTTTACTAAACAATGTCTGAAAGAACTATTAAAATTGTAATTATTTACCTCTCACTTGTAATAGACCTTTTTTTTGGCTGATGCATTGAGGGCTCCATAGCGACCAGCGTCCTCCGGTAGAATGGTTTGAACTTCTGTTTACAGCATATACAATAGGTAAATTGCGCTCCAAAAATGGGTTTGAAGCGTTTTTAATAGATTACACAGTGTTTTTGTGACACACAACTTAGAAATGTATCTGTTAAACCCGTTATAATCTGTCAGATGTGGTTCAAGCGCGTCAAAAATACGAGAAAAAAGTTTTCATAGTTCACGTGTCTGCCGTCGGAAATACAGTGTGTGTGTGTGTGTGTGTGTGTGTGTGTGTGTGTGTTCCCGGCCTGTCAGCTTCAGTACACACACACACACACACACACACACATGCAATACTTCACTGCATTATAGAATAAACCAGATTACTGGCATGAAACTTAAAAGGTAAGTCATGCAATTTACAAAATGACCAATAAAAGTCTGTTATTGATACTCCGCTGGCTGATTTGCTGTTCATTCTAATCGCGAGCCGTTTATGTTTCATTTTGTGTGTTGTTTTTACCATGGTTTGTATTTTTCTGTCATTTGGAAATGACTATAGCCTATATTTTCACTGTCACAGTTATTAAATCAGTGTGTCAGTGCGACAGTATAGGCTACTGTATGTGTGTGTGTCAAACATTTTGGTGAGCAACATTTGTTTGGGTTAATTATTTATTTGACAGAAAGAGAAACTGTTGACTTTAGCGATGACGAGGCTTCATTTAAACGGCAGAAAATGCCATATGACAACGAGGGGAAAATGCCTCACAGCAGCTGTTTTCCATCATATTAAATCGCATTTCTTTGATAAAACGAAGAAAAGATGATAAAAGTAGTTAAAATAGATTAAAACTATCGTTTCAAAGCTGTCTGTTTACTCGCATCAGCTGCCAACCGGAAGTTCTTAGCATTCTCCTTGCGCACGCACGGAAAGCATAATTGGTAATTTTACGTTCCAAGAAAAAGGTCTATAAATAAATGTAAATGTCTTAAGTATATATAAAAAATAAAACTAATCTCTCTGCACATAAATAATCGTAAAAGGTGAAAGTTTGTTGTATTACATAATGGGAGATTTTGGCTGCCAATCTGGCAAACAAACAAAACTCCATGGTCGGTTTACTCGATAGTTCACTTTGTGCAGTGTTGTACTTGTGATGCAGAGCTCTCATGATCAAACCCGGAGAAATAGTTGAAAGTCTGCTTGTGAAAACAATTATTTGGCTTTATGAAAGGATTAGGTCAGAGGTTCCCTGGTGATCTGTACAATGAGGTTGTCACAGGCCTGTTCAAGAAGGACATGTATCTGAAATGTACACTATACGTAAAGTAACTTCATGTAGATTTGCACAAAAGTAGACAGTGCTCTCTAGTGGATTTGTCATCTGAAACATACAATGGAACATTCCTGGAACAATATTTAACATTTTGCAAAAATGCTGGTTGAAGCATGTACTGTATTTTCAATGACCCTGGGCTGGAAACTCTAGAACCAGAATGAACAGCTCTATAGCTGCAAGCTTCCACAAAATGTTATCAAATAATCTGACAACTTCAGACATGTTTCAGAGAGTTTGATCATTATCTGCATACCAAAAAAATCTCTTTTCTTTTTTGATTCTTTTATTTATTGATTCAAAGGAGTATTAGCTCCACTCATGCTGTAAGCTGCGTGACATTGCTTGATTATTGGTAATTTCGGTGATGATGTATTTATTTATTCAAATTTGCATGATCGCAAAAAAATAAGGGTTGGTATACATGGTTCAGTGAAGAGGCTAAATATTTTAAACATTTTGTCCTTTATTACTGAAATGTACAGAACAATTTTTCTGAACTATTCAATCATTCATTAATTTATGCATTCATTCTTTCATTCATTCATTCATTCAATTATGCATTTAATAATTTGTTCATTTCTTTATTTTGATAAATACAAAAAAAATCCCATTTGGAACCTAGACTGAGAAAACATCTAAATATTTAAAAGAACAGTTTTCTGAAAAATATTTCCAAATGAAGTGAATTGATTAAAACAACATTAGAAAAATATCTACATTAAATAAGTATCACATTAAACAGATCCATCAGTGTTGCAATATCTACCATCTCTAACTTACATGGTCTTTTGAGGAGAGTATTGAGCAATATTATGTGTTGCGTAATGCGCACCCAACATGTGCCGACTAATCCCTTGGCAAGACTTCTTTAAAAATGCCTGATAACCAATTTAATTGACATTAGCAAGATTACAAGAAACATGACTGCCTCCTCACAAATACAGTTCAGCTTGACATTTGTTGTTTATCATGCAAACACAATGAGCTGGCTCAACACAGAAGACATAAACAAAATAAATAGACCAATAAGGAAGATAATAGGTGAGGGGAACGGAGTTGTGGTGATATACCTGTAATGAATAAGATTACGAGATACAAGAAAAGTTATAAAAATTACATTAAAGCAAACAAAGTTAAAATGATTCATAGATACCATAGATAATGATCAGAAAAGACAAACCAAGCAAATCAGACTAGAGACTTGGCAATAGCTCCTCGCCAAGGTTGCTTCCTGGTGAGCCATGGAGAGTCCTACCTCATCAACAATGAAAGTTTTCTGTCAAGGCAGGGTCCGGAATGTGTCCAGAATGTCCTAAGTCTGAATCTAGCCTTTCTCCTTCAAACTTGAACAAGGGGTCCCACTGGATGTCTTAAGGGTCCAGTGTAGATGAAACAAAACAGTACCCTCTGCCCTTAGAGTCCTCTCCCCAGGGGCTTTAAGCAGGTGAGAAAGAGCATGAGGTTTCACTTTCCCCGATCTGAGCAGGTATGAGAGAGTTAAACTGGCCCAATAGGTGCCCAGTAGGCCTGGTGTTAATTTAACCTTGTGGCTGAATGGATAAACTCAAGTTCATGTGATACTTTCAGACTAAAACCTGGATTACCTTTTTTATGACATAGGAAAAGCACATCTTTGCCCCCCTGACACCCTTACCTACCTGCAGCATCCACCTCAACAATGAATTTTCCTGTGGAAGTTTGACATTGATCTGGAATGGAAAGAACAGCAACAGAGATGAAATAGGATTTTTTTTTTAAATACCCGTTAGCCTGAAAATCCAGTTGAACATTACCTTAAAGGAGGTGAGCTGAAAGCTGAAAAAAAAACTTTTGCATTAAAAAAAAGTTGCATTAGTTCCTAATTAAACAGTTTTAGACATTGGCAACCCTCAGAAACTGCTGCAGGGCCTTACAGGTGTTGGGGATTGTCCACTTGAAGACAATGCGTACCTTAAAAGGTCAGCTTCTACCACATATGCTGAGATGACACACAGGAACATAAACGATTAAAGTATAACTCACACTTCTCCACCATGACAAAAAGCATTCTACTGCAGCCATGGTAAGATCTAGCAAACATGCACACAAAGATAAACCAATTAACCAGAGCATGGAAGACAACTGAGGCATTAGTCAGACCAAAAGGGTTGTTGGACCAACCCACACAATATCATTGTGAAGACCCTGGCTTCCTGCAGTAAATCATAGGCAGAGTACATGAAATGTAGGGTTTTTTTTTTTTTTTTTTACAACATCATTCAAATATCAGTACAAATATCTTGGAATTTTAATTAATAATACACTTTATTTTAGTTCTTACATTTAGCAATTGGTGAAAAAATTAAAAGTGATTTTAGGCTTCTATTTTAGAATTAAGAACTGCCTTTCTTTTGATGCTAAAAAGAAGCTGGTTGATGCAACATTTATGTCGATATTGGATTACGGTGATGTTATCTACATGCATGCTTCGTCTCAAAGTCTGAATGCATTGGATACTGTTTACCATAGTGCACTAAGATTTATAACTAATTTTAAATCCCTAACTCATCATTGTGTGCTTGAGGGTAGGTTGGTCTGCTTTGTCCATTCGTAGGCTTAAGCATTGTCATATATCCTAGTTTACAAATCTACACTGGGTTTACTCCCATCATATCTACAGAATTACATTTGTAAAAAGTCTGTTCTTATATGGTCTCTGGTCACAGGATATTTATTTACTGTCAGTTCCTAATGTGCGGACTGAGATGGGAAAAGAGGCTTTTAAGTACGCAGCACCTTTTGCATGGAATAATCTGCAAACACAATTGCAGTTCAAAAAATTGATTTCACTACATGCTTTTAAAAAGACTATATAAGATTTAGAAATTGAAACAGGTTTGTAGATGTTTTGAATAGTTTGTCAGTGTGATTCATGTTAATTGGTAATTGTTTTTTGTATACTGCCTAATCTTGACAATCTTGTAAAAGAGATTTTAAATCTCAATGTGTCTTTCCTGGTAAAATAAAGGTTATAATAATAATAATAATAATAATAATAATAATAATAATAATAATAATAATAATAATAATAATTCAAGACCCTGTGGTCCTTCCCGGAATTTAGGGATCCATTCTTCCTTCCAGACAAATTAGAACCAATGGCAGCCCTGTAATAAATAGGGATGGATGAGTCCAGCAATATAGGAATCTAAAAAAATATTTGTATTTATATGTCTGAAGTCTTTCTTTCTGAACCAGACAGGGAATAAAGTCAACTTTAGTCAGAACAGAAGCAGAGATGAAACAGAACTTCTATCAAATAGCCCTTAAACAAATTCCAGTTGAACGGTGACTTGATGGAGAACATGAGTAATTCTACTCATTTGAAAAGAGTTTTGAACTCAGTGTAGAAGGTAATAAGTTAATTAAATACTTTATTACTTAAACTTAAATGGAGTAAGTTCACAGTACTTAAATAGATTAGTTTTTTTTACTCAAATGGTTTGTAGCAATCGGTGTGAGTTGCGTTAACTTTTTAGGTTTTACAGTGCAGGAATTCCCCATCCCAGGAGGTGGTTTCAGTTGTGTAGCATGCTGCCAAGTTCTGGCAAGTGAAGTTCTAATTTGTTCAGTGCCAACTATACAAAACTGAAGTGCTCAGAGACATCAAAACACATAGACGATGTAATCAAAAGGCAACTTTCTCATGCATTACATGGTGCAGAAGACTCCTTTCTTTGCAGTCTTATTGAACTAATTATGTAATATTTCTCCTATTAGCTCTGGTTATTATCATTTCTCTCAGAGTACAGATTAAGTACGTCTTCTGGGAAAAGGACCACTGTTTATCTGAATGAAACATAGAAATGAATAATAGTAATAACACAGTGATGTTGCAAATGCCTTATAAAAGAATTTAAGAGCTCTTATTAAAGTATGCTCAGTTTTCTTACATTTTTACTCTGTACAAACATGTAATGCTCCCTCTTTAAAAATAACAAAAGACATTAAAGTAAAGGAAACTTTTATGAGAACGGAAAAGTGAAACAGCTACAGAGCAGATGTAAAAGATAAGATAATATTTATGGTAGAAGAAGATTTATGGCATATTCCTGTTTTCTGTCTGGCGTTTCACTGGAGAGAGTGAACTGAACAACACCCACTCGCACACACACCCCCTCTGCCTGTCTCCACTTTTTGCCCATTATATAAAGCACAGCAGACGCAGTGGTCTTCAGTCTTGAAGTAGACAACGATTGTTCACAATGAACAGGCTCATTTTCTTCTCTGTGCTGTTCTATGCAGCATTTCATACTGGTGAGCAATATTTAAATCAGTGCTTTTGATTATGTTTGGTACAGGGTATGGATTTCTGTTACTATGTGTTAGCATGTTGTTTAATTTAAATTGAAAGTTATTACGTGTATGTGCAGGTGACTGCATCACGGGAGGGCAAGAGGCTAAAGCACACTCTCGCCCGTACATGGCTTCAGTTCAGTGGAATGGAAAACATGAATGTGGTGGCTTTCTGATCTCCAGTCAGTGGGTCATGAGTGCTGCACATTGCTTTCAGGATGGGTATGAAGCATAACAGTGCAACTAAGCTTTCTTATAGCTCTGCAATGCAAAAATGTTGTAAATGATATCAGTTGTGATTGTGAATACGTCACAGTTTTGGTCATGCTGTGATTTATTTTTGTTTTTTATTTTTTTAATTACTTTTTTTTATGTCTGTTGCAGGAGGACATCTGGTGTTAAGGTTGTTTTGGGTGCTCACTCGTTGTCTGGAGCCGAGGACACAAAGCAAACTTTTGATGCTGAAGTATACAACCATCCTGATTTCAGCATTAGCAACTATGACAATGACATTGCCCTGATTAAGGTACATGCTGTTATCTATCATGAAGCTAAAAATCAATCTGTGTATAGTACTGGGGTTGATACTAATTGTTTACAAAAATGTCATACATTGTAGTAAGTAATGTAACCTTCTGGTTTACTCATTTTGAAAAATCTAATCAGACTACTTAATAACTTTTAGATGACTTTTGAACAAAGTCTTTCATGACATAGATGTGAAGATTGTTTTGTACCATGCTGACATATAATACAAGAAAATATATTATATTTGAATTCTTAGCAATAGTGTGAAGTGCAGTAAATGTCATATTATATTAAAAGGTTTCCATATACTGGGTTTTAATTTAAATAATACAAATGTAAGTTAAAAACACTGCTCAAAACAAAATAAAGAGAACACTCAAACAACATAATGTAACTCCAAGTGTCCTCTTTATTTTGTTTGAGCAGTTATTTTAATATTTAGCTAATAACAAAAGAAAAAACAGTAAGGAAAATTTAATGCATGTATGTTTGTCTGCAAGTCACTGTAAAATAATCATGATGAAAAAAGTAATAAAAATTTAAGCAGTTTAAAATATTTAAAACATCAATAATTTACTGTTTAAATAATAAGTAACCAATAAAAAAGTAACTGCTGTCTGGCTGATCTGACATTACTACATATCTATAATCTAAATACAAGCACTTCATTTTTGGGATCCGATTATGTCAGATTTTATATGATCAGTTACTATCCAAAACTGTTTTTGTTACATTTAGGGCTAACTAACACTATGCTATCTGAACCATGCCCAAGCCCATTTCCCTGATCGTTATAGAAGTGCTTTGAATCGGTCTCAGGCGCGGTTTACTTGGCCGGCCCTAGCCCAGTTGGAAGAGGTGTGCCAAAAAGTGGTTCACTTGGGCTCACGCTTGTAGTGTGAGTGAAAAGCGCACCTGAGCCTAAAACTGAAGACGAGACGTGACTTTTTTTCAGAGGCTTTAATCCATTGTGACGTGCAAACATTTAAGATAATACTGTATGTCCAGCCTGATCTGACGAGGAAACGTAAGTATTTTACGTTTTGTCAGTTTAGTGGAGTTCAATCATATGAAAATGTATGATTTTAAAAAGGAGGTGTGGCACCCAACCCCACCCCTAACCCCAACCGTCATTGGGTGATGAGCAAATCGTTCTAAATTGTACGAATTAGATCGTGTGAATTCATACGAATTAGCCACTAAATCAAAAAGTTACGAATTGCCGTGAGATTGCATTGGTATGTTTGTTTATGCATTCCTTTAGAATCAAACTCTTGACCATACAGTATCTGCAGTAACTGGAGACATTATAATTCTGTATATTTTATGATATGTGATAAACTATTATCAGCAGCAAACAGCCATAGTCATAAACTAGATGCTATTGTTTTGACAGTTGGATAAGCCAGTCACTCAGAGCGATGCAGTCAAACCAGTGAAATTCCAGCGTGATGAGACGGCTGACCCTAAAGAAGCTGCTGTTGTAGAAACGGCTGGTTGGGGCTCATTGAACAACATGGGAGGACGACCTGACAAACTTCATGAGCTCAGTATCCCAGTAATGGAGCGATGGCGCTGTGGCCGTGCTGACTTCTATGGAGAGAAGTTTACCAGCAACATGCTCTGTGCTGCAGACAAAAGAAAGGACACCTGTGATGTAAGTTTTTGTCGCAGTGGTTTATAAGGCACAAATTGACATGATGGTTGACTCTATTCTTCTGTTTTTGTCTCTAATAGGGGGACTCCGGCGGTCCTCTTTTATACAGAGGCATTGTTGTCGGAATAACGTCTAATGGAGGGAAGAAATGTGGCTCCTCCAGAAAGCCTGGACTCTACACAATCATTTCCCACTACGCTAGTTGGATTGATACTACAACTACTAAGTAAAAAGTAAAAAAAAAAATCTAATGAAATGTGGTGGAATCCTTTTCATTTCTATGTATATTTTCATAGGTACATCTGTGCATCTTGTTTAATGCTACAATAATAAACACTTTTCTACATTTATCTAAATTACTGTTGTTGTGATTGTTGTGTTTATGCCATTTTACTTGTTTTAAATGTATGCTAACCACCAACACAATGTGTAGTATTCTAATTAGGTGTATGTCTAATATGTGTTTAATTAAATATATACTTTAGAAATTTCAAAGAAATTACTTTGGTGCTCACTGCAAACTGCCTCAAGGTAAAATATTGTATAGGAGATATTGCTCACATATTTATGACAGAAGAATTAGCAAATAGCTGTGCTGCTCTTGAGTATTTTCTTGCTTATTGATAAATGCTTATTTAACTAACAATAGCTGACTTTGATATTTTGCTTTTATGGACAATGTAGATTTTTAGACACACTGTATCTACATTTTAGCAGCTAACCTTCAGTGTTGTCCGTGAAATAACTTGAGTTGGGCTTAGTGTTATGATGTGCATATTGTGGCACAGAACATCTCAAAGTTTTTGACTCATTAGAGCTAAAAAAAAACCACACACACACACAAATTAGCAAAGAAAGCATTGAAAAGGATCTCAGTGTGGTTCTCGTTTTGACAACTATTAACCACTCCATCACCTGTGGACCCTGAAAGAGATTATTTAGATGAACTTATACGGTACGTTTTGTTGTTATAGGCTAAGGTATGGTGGCCGAGAGAACTTAACGTGCTGCAGTTTAAGAAAGCACATGGAATTACAAAAAAACGCCAGCAAATTAAGAAACAATCATTATCAATTTGACAGCACACGTGTTACAAATTCTCACAACACAAACAACTGAAGAAACACACAGCAATTAGTCACAACACAAACAACTTAAGAAACACACTGCAATAAGTCACGACAATTGCAAATATCAAGGCTGCATGGTGGAAAAGTGGGTAGCACGTTCCCCTCGCAGCAAGAAGGTTGCTGGTTCGAGCCTTGGCAGGGTCAGTTGGCGTTTCTGTGTGAAGTTTGCATGTTCTCCCTGTGTTCGCGTGGGTTTCCTCCGGGTGCTCAAATTTCCCCCACAATTCCAAAGACATGTGGTATAGGTAAATTGGGTAGACTAAATCGTCCGTAGTGTATGAGTGTGCATGGATGTTTCTCAGTGATGGGTTGCAGTTGGAAGGGCATTCACTGCCTAAAAAGCATATGCTGGATGAGCTGGCGGTTCATTCCGCTGTTGTGACCCTAGATTAATAGGAGGACTAAGCAGAAAATGAATGAATGAATTGCAAATATCTACAAAACACAACCAAAATATTTCAAGGGGACCCAAAACCATGACGGACCCTGCTGAGACATGGATGTGTTATATTATGCCGTGACTGTTGCTCAGTGAAGTGATTGATGGTCTTTGAAAGGGGAGTTGTTTTTCGTTTATTTTAATATCCTGATCACACGACATAACACATCCATGTTTCAGCAGGGTCCGTCGTGGTTTTGGGTCCCCTTGAAACATTTCTGTTTTGTTAAGTGGATATTTGCAAGTGTTGTGACTAATTGCAGCACGTTTCTTAAGTTGTTTTTGTTGTGACTAATTGCTGCGCTTTTTTTCATTTTTTTGTGTTGTGACCAATTGCTGCATGTTCCTTCAGTTGTTTGTGTGAGAATTTGCAACACGTGTGCTGTCAAATGGATGAAAATCATTTCTTTATTTGCAGGTGTTTTTTGTTATTCCATGTGCTTTCTTAAGTTGCAGCATGTTAAGCTCTCTCAGCCTCCGTATTAAGGAGATAATTATTATGAATTATGTGGTATCCTGCTATAACTTCAATTAAAACTTTCATTTCTAAAAAAAAAAAAAAAAAACAATACATAAATAATTAGACAACCAAATATACCTTCCTTTTTCATCCTATAATGAAATTTATATTGCATCTTATATCATATTACACTGCTCAAAAACATGTAAAGGAACACATTTACAGCACATCCGATCTCAATCGGGAACAATATTGTACCGGGAATTTATACTATGGACTGGGTAATGTGTTAGGAATGAAAGCATGCTACATGATTTAATGTAGCCTGGAAATTATGAATATACAGAGGGCTGAATTCAAGGACAGACCTGCTATTCTGGCCTTTACTAGCAAATGCTATTGTTACTCCCCTCGAGATGAAACAAAGGCTCAAGTCGTTCTTGATTTTAACTGACATTTATTCGGACACGAGTCTGTAGCATGTCTTGTACATTCTAGCCTTGCACTCCTTTATGTCCCAATATTGCCGTCAGAACTACGAAAAGAAATACATAAACTTCAATTAACCCTTTAAAGGTGATGTTGCACGTAATAAACAACATACATACAAACAAAAGATAAAGTGCACATTCAACATGTAAAGAAATACACTTAATTGGCTAATTATACATTACATACGGACACATAATCATACACGTTCACATACGTTAACACCATACAACACATACCTCATTGGCCTCTCTAACTCAAGAGGAATAAACTTGAAGGGTTGCAGTTTCTCTTTAACAAACTTCTTTGCACTTCTTAAACCTTAAAAACGTGTTTTAGCACAGCACCTTGTGGCTGAACTACTTGTAGTGGATCGGAAGAATATCTTCATTGCAACAATGAAATAATTCCCAAGCTAAACATAACAAGAAAAGGTTCCCCCCTCCCCCTTATAGTTTTAGTTAAATAACTTTAAATGAATTAACATGCATTAACAACAAATATACATTACTTATTTATTCTAATGATTAATTTGAACATTTTAACTATTTATTGACTTTTTTAATGTAAAGTTTATGTTTATAGAGTGTAATATATAAGCATTGCTTCTGACGGCAGCTACAGCTATTTAACTATAAAGGTAAATCATTTACCTGATTTACCTCCATATTCAAGCTCGACAGGAAGCGAGCACAGGGTCTGCTAGAGGATGTCAAGCCCTTCGGCTACCCTTATAAAGTCTGTTTCTGCTAGTTTTTACTGAGACATTAATACTAGTGGTCTGCTAGATGTCATTCTGTAAGGCTCTGGCAGTGGTCAACGTGTTCCTCCTTGCACAAAGGAGCAGATAATGGTCCTGCTGATGAGTTAAGGACCTTCTATAGTCCTGTCCATCTGTCCTAGAGTAACTGCCTGTCTCCTAGAATCTCATACATGCCCTTGAGACTTCTGGGCGACACAGTAAATCTATTGGCTATGGGATGTATTGATGTGCTATCATGGAGGAGTTGGACTGCCTGTGCAACCTCAGTAGAATCCAGGTATTGGAAATCATGAAATCAGAAATGACACTGACCTTAGCCAGATTCAAAGCTAGTGCAAAAAAATGATAAGCAGATCAAAAATGTCATGGGGTTTTGCTTATAAAACCATTCTTGTTTTGGAAGTTGTCTCATTGTTTATCTGTTGCACTCATTGTAATTTCATTAATACCAAGCATCTAAAGAGGAGATTGACAATCCCCTCTGCTACTTAACTGAGCAGATCAATTTCCCAGGAATTTAATTGACTTGATGCCATCCTTCGATTAAAAAGTGTCCCTTTAAATTTTTGAGCAGTCTATATTGGGTTAAACTGGGTGAACCAAAACAGAAAGATGCCAAGAGCTGTTATGCTTTGTCAGTATTTCCCTTTTTGAAAAGTGCCCCAAGATTAAATTGAGTCTGATAGTCATCTTTTGTATGATTGCAAGATAAATAAAGAATTTCAACATGTTCTGACAGCTCAACGGCATGAACATTTTTGGATTTGTAATCTGTTGCAATGTCAAACTGCTCATTGTGTTGTGTAAGAGTTTTTGAGTGCATCATTAAATCTGCGTTATGAAACATGACATTTATATCATAGATATTTCAGACTCTGTTTACAAATTATTCTGTTAAACAGATTCCTCAACACTCCTTGGTGTTGCAATATCTGTTATCTCAAACTTAAACAGTCTTGAGGAGAGTATTTTGCAGTTTTAGGTGTTGCAAAACCTGAATACTGCATGAGACTGCAAGCATATATCTCACAGCAGTTTATAATTTTAGAAGCCAATTTATAATCAATTTATACAATTTCTTTTAAAAAGTTTAGTACAATTTCTTCAAACCCCAGTGAGAGGTACTGTAGGTTTAGGTGCAGGGTTTGGGGGCGACCTTTGTTTTCATGAACTATACATTCTATTACAAATTAAATTGCATGAACTTGTACAAATTATCAACCTTTTTTTGCAAATGTATAAAATATTTCTGTTTTATCATGACATTAAGCTTACTATAAGACTTGGCAAGTCTTCCTGGAAAATTTGTGTTAACAAATTCAGTTTACATTGTCCAAATGACAAGAAACATGACTGCTTTCTCTCAAATACTGCTCAGCATTTATGGATAGTTAACCTTGCACTATGGGTTAATCATTTAGTAGAGTTGTACTTTCTCATGTATTTAATCCGAGTTGACATCTTTCTTGGCAATCTGATTTGACTCATTTTATAACATGCCTCATCCTGGCTCTGGTTATTGTCTTTCTTTCTGTCAGTCAGACTAGAGATTAAGTGCGTCCAGTCCTGGAAATTGGCCTACATACTTATTTATCTGAAGGCCACATGTAAATTAAACAACAGCCCTTGCACATTTATGTTGCAAATGCCTTTCTTCTTAAGTTTAGACTTGTTTCAGCTAAAGTTATTCTTGTCTAGAAATAATTGGTATAGAGTTTTTGTTACTAAAGAATTTTGGCAGAGAGGTCAAATAAAAGAGAAACCTTTAAAAAAAATCGTACTAACAATTCACAAGTTAAGATGGTAAAGCTACACAGGTCAGCAGGTCAACAGGTAATAGATGAGGGATTCAAGCTTGGAAATACAAGGAGCATCTTAGTCTTTACAAATACATGGAACATCATTTTGTAATAAAAGGTACAAGAATATTGCCAAATAAATCTAAAACCACATTTCCCAATGCAGTGTATATATATATATATATATATATAATTTATTTATTTATTTATTTTTTTAACAAAATCACTATGCAGACTTTTATGAGTGACAGATGCAAAAGCAAACATCTGTCATGGTAAGCATGGTATGGAGCTGCAGCAGAACAAACAGCATGGTACCATTGACATGGAGAAATATAATGTGAGAGTACAAAGACATCCTGCTATCAAAATAATGTCTTTCACTTGAAGTCTATGGTCAGAAGATCAAGTCTCATTCTGCATGCATCACAACAGCATGGTTTTGTAGGCCTGGAGTGAATGTGCTTGACTGGATCCAAATCTGTCTCCTATTGAAAACTATTTGCCCATCATGAAAATGATTATCAGGCAACCGTTAAGCAACAGAATTATTGTATCTTACCAGACTATGCAAAACTTTAACAAGTGGTATCCTCAATTCCCAAGCAATTGAACATTGTAAATTATTTTTTAGGTGTGTGCTGCAGAAACTGATTACACAATTTGATTTGATTTACAGAATACAATTTGTTTGGTCAGCGGAAGCATTGGAAATATAGTCTTTGTACTTTGTATGAAAGTTATTATTTAAAGAAAATTATCAAACCACATACTCTTGATTTTATTGTTTTACAAAATGTTCCAAATTTTGGTACTATATAGCCAAAAGCTCTGAGACACCATCCCAATCTTCGCATTCAAGTATTTCAATCACTTACATTGCCACAGATGAATAAAATCAGACATTCAGACAACTACAACAAATATTCTACATGAATATGCACCAGTGCACAAGCAACGTTCATAAAGACGTGGGTGAAAGAGACTGGCATGCACAGATTCCTAACCCTAACCCTAACCTGACAGAACACTATTGGGATGATTTAATTCTTCTAGAAGAATGGTCAACAACTCCTATAAACACACACCTAAACCTTTTAGAAAGTCTTTGAAGGGCACCTATTTTACCCCTTTTACAAGATGCAAGATAAGCATTTGATGTCTCCAGAAAATGTAACGTTTCAGCTCAAAAATATCATATAATTTATTGTACCCTCCAGAATCTGCCCATTTTGGTGTTTTGACTACAATGTAGCTGCTTTTGCCTATGACTTTAAACCCCAATTAGCTGCTTCTCCCTGCCCACCGCTACTATTTGCGTGTCTGCGTCTCCTGCATAACTTCCGATAAACAGCAGTCAGTGATAGAGACAGGCATGGATGAAGCTGAAATACAGCTCATGAGTCAAAAATACCAAGTAAGTTTATTTCATGCATTTGTGGTGTTTATTCAAGCCTTTCTGAAACAATGAGTCTCAAACAAATGCTGTTTGCAGTACACACACACACACACACAAACACACACACACACACAAACACACACACACACACACACACACACACACACACACACACACACACACACACACACACACACACACACACACACACACACACATATATATATATATATATATATATATATATATATGCACATTTACTGACACCATGCGGCCGTGGTGATTATAACAGTTAGGAATTTGCAATTTTACTGTCTTTATTACAAACATGCTCTGTTTTAAAAATGTTATAAACTTATAAAAATCACAAAGAGTTGGAAGAAATATTTTAATCCCAATTTATTTGCAAAAAAAAAAATGTTCTGTAGACGTCTATTCATGTTATTTATTGAAATATGATGCCTGTCAATCAATTTGGTGGGCTGGGAAAACCGCACTCCTACGTCATGTTGCAGTGGGCCTCAAAATTGGGATTTTGATTGGGATTGGGATTTTGAAAATTTGGGATTTTTCAATGTCAGAAAATTGAAAAAAAAAAAAAAAAAGACTTACTGTGTTTATATCACATCATGACAGCGGACACACTACACACAGTTCTGCTCAAACAGCTTACAAAAGTTGATTTTCATCATAATTGCCTTTTAAAGGATGAAGCTGTAATAGCTACACTGTTAACAATTTTTTGTATTGTAAAAGAATTACAGTATATTTTACAGTAATAATATACATACAGTACAATTCTGTAAATACATATACAGCGAGATAAATTGTGCTGTAAATGTAAATACTTTTTTTTTTTGCTGTAACTGATTTACAGTAAGTTACTGGTGAACTTCTGCCAATAGGTTAATGTAGATGCTACAGGAAATAGTTTACAGTGGGCCAACTCAATATTAAACCTTACAAATTAAAATTGTTGAACCTGCACAGTGAATATCAGAATATTGTGTATGCTATTTTCTATATAAGCTTGCTGAAAACTCAGATAGCAAGCAGTTAAGAAGGACAGATTTTGTAATAGGAAGTCAATTCCTCAGGGTCAAGTGCTGGAATGCCGTCCATTGACTGTGTTCCTGTTTTCTTGAGCAGTAGTCAAGTTCACTAAACAAGTCAAGTGGAACATTGTGAAGGAGTTCAGTGAGGGTGTTTTGTTTCTACCAGTATAACAGTTTAGAGCAAAGGTGCACTTGAGTCTGTTTAGTGACTTAACTCTTATTTATTTCCCTCACCATGGTTCTAACACAGTCTCTGTAGCTCCAAAGAAGATTTTGATCACAGTAAGTGCATGTTCTCGCAATTTAAACATATTCGATTAAAGCAATATGATAAAATCAGTCAGCCTGGAGGCCTGTGTTTGTCCCAGTGAGCCTTTGTTTTGGTCTTTGGCAAGGGTTTTGAGCATGAAAGGCAAGTTCAACAAACAGTCTGCCAGCTCTTTATCTTACTGTTATCAGCCACAATATACCCAAGTTCCTGTTTTTCTATTTTTGCTGGTCTCAGACCTACACAAATAGCTTGATAAATTTATGCTGATTTGTTGTAAAATGTTGTGTTTCGTCTTTCAGCCCCAGAATGTATTCATGATTTGGAGAATAAAAAAGGGCTTTAAACATTCTTTCTCACAGGACAAACTGGAAAATAAAACATCAAGCAACCCCAAGATAACAGCACTGAAATGTAAAGGTTCAACAGCAAATTTTACACCATGCAAAGTAAACCTTTACAAACCTAAAACATAGGACATAAAAATCCAAAACAGGACATATATTAAAAATACAACACAATGGCTATACAGAGCAGTGTTTTTATTATTATTAAATTATCAATATTACACAAGCAATCAACCACTAGGGTTGGGGTTGTCACAGTGCCACAGTGGAAAGCACAATTGCCTCACAGCAAGACGGTCACTGGTTCGAGCCCTGGCTGGGTCAGTTGGTATTTCTGTGCGGAGTTTGCATATTCTCTACATGTATGTTTGGGTTTCTTACAGGTGCTCCAGTTTCACCCACAGTCCAAAGACGTGTGCTATAGGTAAATTGAAAGAGTGTGTATAGTTGTTTCTAAGTGTCAAGTTGTGGCTGGAAGGGCATCTGCTGCGTTAAACCAATGCTGGAGAGGTTGGTGGTTCATTCCACTTTGGCGACCCCTGAATAATAAAGGGACAAAGCCAAAAAGAAAATGAATGAACATGTTTTCAATGTGCATTAGCTTTAAAGAAATGTACTGTTCTACATTTCCATTGTGTTGTTCACACATTCATTCACTTTCTTTTTGACTTAGTCCCTTTATTAATCCAGGGTCGCCACAGCGGAATGAACCGCCAACTTATCCAGCACGTTTTTATGCAGCGGATGCCCTTCCAGCCACAATCCATCTCTAGGAAACATCCACACACACTCATACACTACGGACAATTTAGCCTACCCAATTCACCTGTACCGAATGTCTTTGGACTGGGGGAAACCGGAGCACCTGGAGAAACCCACGCGAACGCAGGGAGAACATGCAAACTCAACACAGAAACACCAACTGAATTGACCCCGCCGAGGCTCGAAACAGCAACCCAGTGACCTTCTTGCCGTGAGGCGACAGCACTACCTACTGCACCACTGCGTCGCCTCCAAATATACACTTTTTATGTAAATTCCTTATCCTGCATTTACATAAATATATTTATATGATTGGCTGATTAAAAAAATATATACGTATGAAAACAAAACACTTCATGAACTGCAGATAGACATAAGCAAAATTAATGTTTAGGCAAATTAACTGAAATTGTGGTGGCGCAATGGGTAGCATGATCGCCTCACAGCAAGAAGGTTGCTGGTTCGAGTCCCGGCTGGGTCAGTTAGCATTTCTGTGTGGAGTTTGCATATTCTCCCTGTATTCGCATGGGTTTCCTCCGGGTGCTCCGGTTTCCCAAACAGTCAAAAGATATGCACTGTGAATTGAATAAGCTAAATTGACTGAACGTAGTGAATGGGTTGTGGCTGGAATGGCATCCGCTGTGTAAAGCATATGCTGGATAACAAGTTGGAGGTTCATTCCACTGTGGAGAACCCTGAATAAAAAAGGGACTAAGCAAATGAATGAATGAATGAATAATTGAAAATGTTGATTGTAAATTAATTATATGCAGCACAAAATTCATTCCTAAATAATTGAAAAACAACAGGTCTAGACATGATCTGTCTGACAGAAAATATGATTATTCTGACCGGAACTAATATACAGAATTTACCAATTTTTTTTTCTTCGATCCATGTTGACATCAAGTCATCTGTTGCAGCTTCCATTACTGTACTGTACGTCGCATAAGAATGTGCTATTGTCCTCTGTACTGTGCTTGAATAAAATAGTTGTTAATTTGTTGAATCTAATAGAATGATATAAATAGAATATGTATACGCTGTATACCAAGAAATGTAAATAATTCAAGGGAGAATTGCTCTAGGATTGCATGAGACTGGTATTATTTCTTCCTTTCTCAGCGGTGGAGGAGGCAAGTGTCATTCGGTTGTTTTGAGATTGAAATTAAATGCGTTCAAAAACAACTTTTACAATAACCCGATATAAAATAATTTTAAACATTATTGATGTTAACGTCACGGGATGGCATACTGTTTATCTTGGTCACACTGTGCAACATTAAAAATGACGATGCTCCCCCCTCCTTGAAGAAATGGTATGCTCGGTTCCTATGCGCTGTACTCTGTTGTTCTCCTACAGTGAGTCTACTGCTTACTATGGAGACTAACAGCAATAGAAATAGTGACAGATTTCCAAATGCTTTCTAAATACCAAACAACGAACATGGCTGCTATAAGGAAAAACAAATCTTCTATAATGACCGCTGCCGTAAGGTAATTATTATTTTGTAGTTTATTTTCGGTTGTAGGCACGATATTTCGCATTTAGACAGAGCAGAAATGACGGCTGCTTAGGCTTACGGGCCAACCGTCCGCGCGCGCATCCTCTGTACAAAGTCGAAATAAGATGCTTCAATATAATTTGATGCTGACATTACCAGTAATTCGAAAAAAATAAGGAATTAGTTGCCAGATCATTGTCGTTAAGCTAATTGTCACGCGCCCCCGCCCACCCCTAATAAGCGTGAATGCATTATTCTCGCTTGATTTGGGATCCCGTGAGACACTTCTCCCGTTTCCAAGATGGTGACAGCGCTGGAAGACTGTAAACATCCGCTCGCCTACGGTTTGGTCAAACATGAGCGTTAAGACATGGCCTTTCTTTTGGTTTGATTATTATTCGTGAAATAGATTATTTTCAATTTTCAGTCGGTCATCCCATTTTTAGCCGCAAAATGTCTAACGTTATACCGTAAATCCACATTTCTTGTACGTATAGTGTTTAAATACAGAATAAATAGCCGTTTCTTGGCATTGTAAAATATGTACGTTAACGTTAGTGTACAACGTTACGCTTTGCTTGATAATATAACATTGTAATATCTACAAAGACAAGATGAAGAAAGATAAATATGGTGGATTTGGGGGTGGGCATCATGTTTCTCAACTCACACAAAATGGCCATCTTACCTCAAACTTGATACTTGAAAAGTGTTTCACTCAAATATGACATTTCTCACATTATTATTGTTATTATAATATCCAAACTTGTATTTGTGCGTGAAACAGAGAGAGAATAAAAGCATCTGTGTTTCCACATAACTACGGTATATAGTGACCATTCACTTTTGCAGTTGTTATTATTATTATTATTATTATTATTAGAGTGTATTTTTTTAAATATACTCTGCAATCTATTAAATGTTTTCTGTTCATAACAACAAACTCACATTCTAATTTTTGTATCATAAAAAGGCTTTAGACATAAATGAATTCTGAGTTAACAGGTTAATAATTCGGAGAGTTAAAAATGAACCTTCTTTTATGGCATCTGCTAAAGCCATCGTGAATTTTTCAGCTCAGCACTCTTTAGCAGTGAACCATCAACATTAATGTTTCAAATCTAAGGTTCAACAGTATGACATCACCAAACTATCTCTAGAGGTTAGTTCACCCCAAAATAAAAATGCAGTCATAATAAAAAGGTTCATTTGATGACAAATAATCGTTATTTAAGGAGGTCCTGGATCCATTACCATGAAGCTGGATTAGCTGGCTAGCCAGTTAAGTTTAGTTTGCACCAATCTTGGGTTTTAGGTTAATATGAAGGCAGCTCAACTTTAATCATTCTTCATTCCCATGGTATTATAGAGCAGCTGAGCTATGTTCATGATATCTAAAATCCAGAATTGTTTCAAACTAAATTCAAACTTAAAAGGCTAGCTGCTAATCTGGCTTCATAGTACAAGGCACCTGTTTTTGACATCACCCTGTTGTATATCCCCAACGCTGCACTGGCATCTACATCTTAGGACACACCAAACAAGCAGATCAAATGTTCTGAAAAGAGTTTTTCAACTTAACATGCTAGACATCTATACAAACCCAAAACTGGACCTGATGTCACAAGATGTGACCATAAACAAGAGAGAATGCACTTAGAACTTTGCAGTTCATTCATTCATTCATTCATTCATTCATTCATTTTCTTTTTGACATAGTGCCTTTATTAATTTGTGGTCGCCACAGCAGAACAAAATGCCAACTTAACCAGCATATGTTTTATGCAGCAGATGCCCTTCCAGCTGCAACCCATCACTGGAAAACATCCATGCACGCTCATGCACACACATACTCTATGAACAATGTATATTACCCAATTCACCTATAGTGCATGTCTTTGGACTTGTGGAGGAGACCGAAGCACCCAAAGAAAACCCATGTGAACATAAATAAAATGCAAACTCCACACAGAAATGTCAACTGACCCAGCCGAGGCTCGAACCAGCAACCTTCTTGCTGTGAGGCGATTGTGCTACCCACTGCATCCCCGTGCTGTCCCTTTGCAGTCAATACAGGATTATTAATTTGTTACAGGTGTTCCATCACAAATATTTTTTCTTCGTCTTTTTTGTTTTTGTTGTGCAATATTAGGTTTGTTTCTAAATTGTTTTTAAATGAACTAGATAGATTATCAACCTAGAAAATAAATTATTTACTCATCCCTCAATGTTCCAAGTCTTAGTTGTGTTTTTTTCTTCTGTTTAAAAAAAAGAATGTATATTGAATAAGGCTGATAAATGACCTTCATAGTATATAAATCTTTCTATGGAAGCAATATATACTATACATTTCAGTGGCTACAGGTTACCAACATTCTCAGAGAGTAAATGGTGAGCAGATTTTAATTTTTGGTTTAACTATCCCTTTTAGTTTGAACTAAGGATAAACTATTATTTTATTAGACATTTACCACATATTTCAGATTTGCAGGTGTATAAAATCTTCATAAATCAGTGTTTTGTAAAGGGGCCATCACTGTGTTTATTAGAAAATTAATAATTTTTATACCTTCTAGAATGTAAATGCTATTTATGCTTAATGTTTGTCCTCAAACAGATATATCTCATAGCATTTTTTGATCTTTCAAATTACATTAACCCTTGTGGGCTATTGGGATGTTTTCATCCACTCTTAAGACAACTTTTCCTGTTTTTTAGCAAATTGGATCATTTTTGGTGACATTTTTTTTGACACGGATATTTTGACATTTAGAAAAAATCCTTAGAAAATTTTTAGAAATTCAACAATATACTCTGGACAACTTTACTCCCCTTTCGTTATGTTTGTTGCTGTTTTTGCCCCATTGACTTCAATTGTAATTACATTTTTTGATTGCAAAGCCATGACGCCATATAATCATGCATTCAAGTTTTTTCTGATGGGAAGAGTTAACATTTGTAATTGTTACTGTTGGTCATTGGTTGCAGGGCAAAAAAATGCTTAGTGTCTGCCTTCTATAGAGTGTCTGCGAGAGTGTGAGAAAGATCTTTGCATGCTTACCTTGATATGTTTGAGAAACTAAAAAATAACCACACCAGCTCTCAAAACATGGTAAACATACTAAGTGTATTTATGCACACACACTATAATTCGTTGTTTTACACCATAGAACGTCATATAAAAAATGGAAACTTTTTTGTACAGGCGTGTCTAAAGGGTTTAATGGTGTTAACTGATGATCGACAATAGAAATTACAATTTGGCCTCTTTCCAATGGAAAAAAGAATGCATGATTATTTGGTGTCATGGCTTTGCAATCAAAATACACCATTATAATGGAAGTCAATAGGGTAAAAACCTCCACAAACATAACAAAAGTGTAGTCAATTTGAACAGTACACACATGTTAATGTTGCCTTAATTGAGTATATTGACGCTGTGGCACAGTAGGTAGTGCTGTCGTCTCACAGCAAGAAGTTCGCTAGATCGAGCCTCAGGTGGGTCAGTTGGCATTTCTGTGTGGATCTCCCCATGTTCGCGTGGGTTTCCTTCAGGTGCTCCGGTTTCCCCCACAGGTCCGAAGACATGTGGTACAGGTGATTTGGGTAAGCTAAATTGTAGTGTATGTGTGTAATTGAGTGTGTATGGATGTTTCCCAGTGATGGATTGCAGCTGGAAGAGCATCCGCTGCGTAAAAAATATGCTTTATTAAGTTGGCGGTTCATTCCGCTGTGGTGACCCCATATTAATAAAGGAACTAAGCCGAAAAGAAAATGAATGAATTGATTATATGCATTTATTATGAATCCTTTTTGGATCATAAAAGCCCCTGGTGAGTGGTCACTATGAAAAGTCCTTGTGGGAAAACTGCCTGTGTATCGTTTGGAGAGACAAGTAAAGTAAACATGGACAGCATTTTCATTTTTATGAATCGTTTCTCTGCATGAGCCCTATAGTGAGTTTTTCCTTTCCTGTTTCAAATAATGCCGGACTACATTGTTTACTATATAGAGTTTTGTTATTTCCTGAAACATTGTGCAGTGAATATACTTGAATGCAATGCTGTTCTTGCAGCTGCTCCCGCTTACAACAGGTCCAGGCTCTTCTAAGGGATGATGTCAATACAGCTCCAGATGGCATCCTTTGCTCCCTGGGTAAGTGAATTAATCAGTATAATCTGTGCTCTTTCGCTCATATGATCTTTTACTCCAAAGACACAGGCGGAAATAGTTTACTCCAGTGGTACACCTGTAAGTAATATACTCTGTTTGATTTTTCAGGTATTGACAGCCGCTACAATGAAGGCTGCAGTGAGCTGGCCAGCTACCTTTTCTGCGGTTTGTACAACCACAACCATTTTGACATGGAGCAGATTCCAGAGGATTTCCCTGAGGAAGTACTGGATGGTACGACAAATTCACAACTTTTCATAATTATGTACTGTGTTAAAAGGCTGTTTCATTTCAGGGAGTTTTACTTGAAAGTAATTTGTTATGCATAAATTAGAATTGTTGTTTGCTTATTTGTAGATGTGATCATCCTCATTAAGGCAGAGTGTGTGCATCTGTACTGCAACCCAGTGAATTATGGGTACCTGCTTCCCTATGTATCTCACTGGAGGAATTTACAACTTCATTGTCTGACTGAAACAGAGGTAATGATATAATAACAAGATATGCAGTAAACATCAATATAATACAACTGTTTTAATTAATCTTTCTTTATATAGCATGTTTCAAATAAGCGTTTCTAAACCAGCTTCATGCTAATAACAGATAGAATTGGCAGTTTAGGGTAATTATTGAATTTATTGTATAACAATGGTTTGTTCTGTAGACTATCGAAAAAATATAGCTTAAAGGGGCTTATAATTTTGTCATTGAAATGTTAAAAAAATTAAAAACTGC